CGCGGCGGGGGCAGGCAGTGGCGAGGAGATCTGCAGTCGGTCGACAGCGAGAGCAGATAAGAGGCAAACGCTGACTCGTCCGCGTATGAACGTTCCACGCGGCGTCTACAGCAACCGGCGCGGCGCATATCCGCCGAGCCAAGTATATCGTCACTTAACCCCCTCCTCCCCCTTCCCCCTCCAGGACTCTGCACGCCCCGCCCCGCCCCGCCTCGCCTCGCCCCGCGAAGACCGCGCGAGTAAACAACAGCAGAACATCGGCAGCACCACACCCGAGCGCGGCGCGCGGGCACACACACACACACACACACACGTTACGTAACAACGGCGACAAAGAGCGCGTGGCGAGGCGGGGCGTGGAGGCAGCCACGCGGGGCCTACTCTAGGTCCCGGTGCCGAATGCCACGGGGTGGGGTGGGTTGGCGGGGAGGGGCGCTGGCCTGGTAGGGTTCGTCGTTCCAAAGCCGAGGTGTGCGGGCGCGGGGCGGGCGCGGGTGGCCCCGCAACCCCCGCAATGCCCTGTTGCCAAGAGACTACCGACCGAATAGGCGGTCTCGCGCGCGCGCTTGGAGTGAGAGAGGTGTGTCCCAAAAGGGGCGGAACGGTCCGATCACCCCTCAAGACTCCGGCCCAGCAGAGGGGCCACAATGTGGACGGGCAGCGAGGCGAGAACCAAGAGCATCGCCCTTCGCCCATCGAAATACAGATAAAGATGCCGGCGCACTATCGAGCACCGCCTCGCGGCCCAGGGGCAGACCCGGCCATGGGCCCGGACGTATCGGCTCTCATTTCCCTTTCGAGCGGGGCCAGATGTCGCAGTGGCGGGGGCCCAGGGCCCGAGAGCCCCGGGGCCGCCCGGGGGGGCAGGGACAGGGCGGCAGCAGGCTTTCCAGTTCGTCAGGACCTGTCCAGTCCAGCAAAGCGCGTGGAGCAGCTCGCGGGGACGACCTGGGGCCGGGGCCGGGCCGACGTCACGGGCCGGTCCTGCTGAGCCCCTGCTGCCCGCGCGGCGCGAGGCCAGGCCCCGGTCTGGCCTAGCCGAACACAGCCTTCTCAAGGACACCCAGGCCAAAGGCCAGGCCGAGGATG